TAAAAAAGTAGAAAAACAAAAATGTCCTAGTTGTGTCCAGCCTCTTTTCGGAAGGATCCCTACAGCATATTAGCTAGGACCCGACGTCATGCAGAGATACACTTCAAACTTGTACTCCCTGAGGGTGGGCAGAGAATATGTAGTCTGGATTCAAATTCAGGTCTGTGCATGTCGGTTATGGGTCACTATTTACCTGGCGATGGTGTTGAGTAGCCTGCCCATGCTAGAGAGTAGGAGTAGCCCACATATGGGGCAGACAGAGTGAGGGAGGAGACTTATGAGAGGTGAAGGAGGAGGAAGATGGAAGGAACCGTCAAGAAGGCTTACCTTTGGCTATGGTGGGACTTCGTCTTCATTTCCTTGACTAGGGCTGCATCATGAAGGGCCCTGTTGGGTACCAGCTGGACATAAGCTTCATCCGTAAGTTAGGCATGTCATTTTGAGATGGAGGGAGTAGATGTAGCGCGTTGTCCTCTGGACATCCCTTTCTGAAGGGGCTGAACTACCATAGCCACCAGTGCTACTAGGGGAGAGAAGTGGACGAGACCTAAAGGAGAGTTCTCTCCGCACGGACAGTAAGGGAGAGTTACGGGACATATGATTCTTCATCCGTTTATGCTTTGTAATTATTCGCTGGTAATAATATGAGTAGCAGGAGGGATGACGAGGGGAGGAGAGATGATGAGTGAGGTCACGTTAGTGTATGCCTGTGCTCTCGTTCTTCTTGTTTTTGTTCTTCTTCTGTCTTTCTCTTCTTGGTCTCATTCTTCTTCTTCTTGGGTCATGATGAATGGCAATGTATCAAAGATGAGTTGTTGCATCATGAATGAGTAGGATCATAGCACATAACTCACAACCAATCTCGAATATTCGCTGCAACTAGAGAGATTTGGGAGAAAATGAGTGACGCACATTTAGAAAGAGTAATTCATGATGAGTCGGATTGACTCCTATGTCGAATCTGCAGCATCTCACTTTCTGTCTAAGCCCAACCCAAGCCTACTATGCGGCTGCTCTACTGGAGCTGTAGCGATCCGATCACGACTTCATGCTGCCTGATGAAGACAAAGTGCAATGCCACACAGTGCTCTCTTTGGGGTCATCACCCAGAATGCCAACATTTAGACTGTCGTCTATAACCAGGTAAGCGATGGTGATCCTCCTCTATGTCAGGTCTTCTCCTCAGAACGTTTGTAACCCCTCCAATCTGTCCCCTACCTCCCTCATCAGCTATATCAGACTTACTCCTCCAGGCTGCCAAGGAGCTTAGGCACTGGCTGTTCTCTTTGCACTCTAGCAAGTCTACGAAGTGAACCCTCAAGAGTAATTGTCTGGAAGTGCCCTCTTCTGCATATACACCAGCTGGACCAGCCTATGTCTGGCCTGCTTACCGCCTGACCTCAGGCTCGTACCAAGCACTGATGTCAGGTGCAGAAAATAGGCCTTTGTGACTCTTCCTCTAGGCCGGGAGGCCTGACTGCCCTGTCAGTACGATGGGATCATGCTTGGCCTCTCAGCATCAGTTCTCTGCCGCAAAACAACTATTTGTGAGGCTAGATCTGACTGCGGACATGAACCTACCGCACATCTGTTGACTCTACTGACTGCCCGCTCAATTTGGCTTCCCTCAAGGGTCCAAAATGGCACCATGCCTTGCATGTGTAAAATGTGCCTTCTGGTTTATGCAAAGTGTTTGCTCACAGCACAACACATACGCTCTTGTTTTGCACCATCTCTTGGGAAAGCCGAGTGAGTTTGTGGTGCACTTCTGGTTTCTGTGTGAAGGTTCCAGCATTCCATGTGTCATCTCATGCTGCACCTCACATGTACTTGTGGTTACACCATACTTGAGTGAGGCTTGGGAGGATCCCTGACACAACTGATGAAGATAGTTGTGCAACACTCTTTATCATGATGCATTTGCTTGCAGTATCCCATGCAGCTTCTTAAAGAGTACTCACCAATCACCACTCTGAGAATTGCCTCACAACTTGTGCCTGTGGGTTGCAGAATGACAACCTTTCTTAGTCTAACACCTTGCTTGCTGCCAAGATGTCTGATCAGTGATTTCTTGATGTCCTTGGGAGGTTGGTAATCAAAATCATTCTTCTTCCTTTTTTTTTCAATCGAGAAATGGTCAAAAAAAAAAGAAAAAAAAGGATCCGGACCGATGCTCACCATAAGAGAAAGAAGCCAAGCCCTAAGGCCACTTTTATGAAAATAAGTATTTTTTGTTACCACCCCCCCCCCCCCCGCCCCCGTGCCCCAACAGGCCTTTATGGCCCTGGCTCCATGTCCATTCTGGGGAGCATCAGTCCGGTTCCTTCTCCCCCAGCAAGTCATGTATTACATCAGTGACACCCTCATGCTTCCTTCCGTTTGGCAAAAGCACCCCTGACTAGCATTGATTGCTCTCTGTATCGGGAGGATTAACTGTCAGCTTACCTTCTCACGAATCCCTCTCAGGTTCGAACACTGAACCTGCCAATTACAACTTTCCATAACAGGAATCCTGAAATAGACTTTGACAAGCTGTGCCTGAGGCTGCTCTTGGCCGCTTTTGCCCCTGTTCCTGTCTCCTCTTTGATAATGGCTTCTCCTTTCATCCTTCCTGCCTTGCGGGACTCTGGGAGACCTCCTGTAGGGTTCCCTGTCTCCCCAGTGCCGCGTCTGAGTTTTGCCAGTCCTTCCCATTGTGGCCTGTCTGCGTGATTGTCAGCCACCTTGCCTCTGGCCAACCAGATTTTCCTGAAGCTCGCCAACCATTACTATTCAGAATCAGGGTAGATTTGGATAGCCTCCTTAACGCTTCTCCACTTGCAGTGGATCTCTGCTTCTATCATGCTCTTTGTTGCCGTCCATACTTTGTCGTGCACGTTCTGGGTATTGTCAAGTGTCCTGCTGCACCTTTCCTTCCATATCGTCCATATTGTCACTTTGCGAATCATGCCGAACCGTGGCCTCTCAGATTTTCAAACCGGGAAGGGATATTAGTTCAGAGAAGGGGTTGGGTGGGGTGCTCAGGGAAGGTGGAGGGAGAATAGATGCTCTGGCCCACTGTTCTGTGGCTTCCTTACATCGGATCACGCAGCGGATCAAGTCCTCTTGTTCTTGACCTGAACACACTACGCATACGTCCGAGCTGTTAGGGTCGCTGTTCCTCCTCCTGATGTGTAGCCACTGGCCAGTGATTGACTGGCAGGGCAGCGTATGTGGGTAACTATGGGAGACTCCTAACCTTGACTGGACAAATCGTTTTCAAAATTTTCCATGGCATTCTGGAGATTTGGCTGGCTTCCTCCCCTATTTAGCCTTGTCCTGGTTGTCCATCTGTGTTTAACAGTTGGTTATGGGTCTTTTGTCTTGAGTAGCATCTTGTATCCCAGTTTGACTGAGTACTCTGAGATTGGTATGACGTTAGTGCTGCTTCTGCCCTTTCCTGTTTGCCAGCCCCACTCTGCTGAATCAAAATCATTCTTCTTTCTTCCCCCCCCAAAAAATCTTGTTTTGGCCTTACAAACTCGGGGTAAGTGAAATCATTTTTCACTTTTGTACTCTCTGAAACATAGGTGACATGCCTTATGCTTCATAAACTGATCTGTGAGAAGATGCTGTCTTTTGCGGTTGTCTGCTTTTTGCAGGAAGAGCTTGAAATGGGAGCATTGCAGAGAATCAATGAGGCATTGCTGGCAGGTCAGCCTGCACGATCGGTGCCTCTGACAAGTGACGAGCTGAAGGTAGTGCAGGCACTTTGCCTGCTTACAATGAAACCTGTAGTCTATGCTGCAAATGTCAGTGAAAGCGACCTCTCAGATGCAGATGCAAACCCACACGTTGTATCTTTGAAGAAATTCGCAAAGGATGCTGCAGCTGAAGTTGTGGTCATATCTGCACAGGTAAGACAACAAAGAAACATGGGGCCAAAAGACCATTCACCTTTCATCTCATGATTATCATTTCCTGCATGGCTCGCCAGATCTGAGCTCAATTGAAACTGTGTGCATTCCAATGTGTCATGCTGTGGGGTAGACTCCACTAGCAAGTGCATGTGCCAACCCCAATATGGTTAGGAATGTTGTTAGCGACATCCAAAACCGGCCATCTTTGACTGACGTTTTATGTCTGAAAGAGACAGTCGGATCATGGTGCCCCAGTGAGCTCTGCCACATGGTATCTCTACTACTTGGGCTGCCCGGCCATGCAGACTGGGCTGGCATTGATGCCCGGGGTACCCGGGGGGGCCGCCCTGTCAGCATTAAAAAATAAAAGAAGAAATGCAACGGCCTCCACCCCTCCTCTTCTCACGTCAAACCCCTCCATGCATCCACGTTGAAACCCTCCATGGATCCACATTGAACTCCTCCATGCATCCATCCCTCTTCCTCCTCCTCCAACTTCTCCTCGCCTCTCCCTCGTCCTCCTCCCATGTCGAACCTCTGCTTGCCTCCGTCCCACCTTTTCCTCCTAGTGAAGACCAACGGTCATCTACACTGGAGGATGACAACAAAAACAAAAAACAAAAACGACAGCATCCCTCCTCCTCACAAAAAGACCGACCGCTTTGTCGGCATTTGAAAAAATAAAATAAAATGCAGCGGCCTCCATCCCTCCTCTTCCCACGTGGAACCCCTCCTTGCATACATCCATCCCCCTTCCTCCTCGCCTCCACCCTCCTGCTCCTCCAACTTCTCCTCTCTTCCCTCCCTCCTCCTCCCACGTTGAACCCCTGCTTGCCTCCATCCCACCTCTTCTCCACGTCGAACCCCTGCATGCATTCATCCCTTTTCCTCCTCGCCTGTACCCTTCTCCTCCTCCAAGAACTTATCGCCTTCATCCCTCATCGTCCTCCCACGTCGAACACCTGCTTGCCTTCATTCTACCTCCTCCTCCTATTCAAGACCCAACACGCTGCTTCATTGGGAGACGACAAAGAAAATAAAAACGAAAGGGCATCCATCCATCTCGCCTACTCATGAACATACAAGGCCACTTTGTCGGCATTTAACAAAAATGTAATGAACCCAGTCTGGAGGATACTCGTCAAGTGTCAAAGTACAAGAAAACTCAGCGCCGAATAATATCTCCAATAATCGTGTATGTGATCTGTGATACAATGTCTCGTAACCAATGGACGAAGAGGAGAGAGGGGGAATAGACAGTTTAGAGGGTGGAAAAGTAAGTGTCCATCAATGACCACAGAGATAGTAGCCCAACATTTCCCACTCCTCCTCTGGGCTTCCCTTCGCCTCCACGTCAGCAAACAGTGTCCAATAATGAGACTGACAGGACCTGATCACATTAGAGTGCCACGTGGCACAGTTCTCCCGTGAAGACGTTCAGCAGCGTACAGTATCGGCATCAGCAACAGGTAAGTATCCTCTCACTCTCCATCAATCCACAGATCCCGATCTCCCTCATTGTCGTGTCCTACTCAGCAATGAAGACAGCGTGGCAGATGCCACGTCAGCAATGGAGACAGGGTGACATGAGCCACATCAGCAATGTCGAAGACATTGTGGCTTGCATCACGTCAGCAGAGGCTGGCGCCAAGACAGGAAGGCGCCAGCAACCAAGCAGCAGTCTCGCGTCGTCGTCCACAGTGCCAGCGTACAGCCAGCATCAAGCCAGCGTCCAGCCAGCATCTAGCCAGCGTCAAGCCAGCGTCAAGTCAGCATAGCAAGACTGAATGGCCTTATGTAGCGTTTGACGAGGTAGACCTGCCTCAGGTCTCGCGCCCACGGTGACTCACAGCCGATGGCCCAGATCTCATACAGTTGCAGACTTCCACTGGGTCCGGATGCTGTCTTGGTACCTGCATACAAACAAGTGTGTGTGTCTGACCGGCGGCCTGGGCTGGGTCCATGCAACCATCCCTCCCCCTACTCACGAAAGGATCGCCATCGTCAGAAAGTCATATAAAGAAACATCCCATTGGGAGGGATGGAGGCCGATGATTGCTGTGGAGGTCGTCACATGGCTAACAGACGCATTCGAGGAGATCACATGGAGAGAGAGAGAGAGAGAGAGAGAGAGAGAGAGAGAGAGAGAGAGAGAGAGAGAGAGAGAGAGAGAGAGAGAGAGAGAGAGAGAGA